AATTTATTGACATGAACTGATATTCACGATATATCGTTATATAGACAAAAAGACTAAATTGTATGATAACAGGATAGTTTTGGCAGCAAGTAAAATTATAATTATAATTTTAGATTTGTTGATCCAATTGATCTAGTCCAGAGATACAGCAGGCTTCAGGGTTGGTTGATTCAGTGACCCAACTATGTTATCAAAGAACTAGTTCGTTTCTCTGCTCTGTTACTCAAAATATCTGTTTCATCCTGCAGCTAGTTTCTAAAATAATTATATGATAGATTCCAGGGGCAATTGAGTATAACTACTTGATTACTTACTTATATTTAGATAGAGAAAGAGAGAATGGCTATTACTTCCTGTAAAGATAAAAAAGGAACATTTTTAGAAGTCTCTAGCAACCATCTTCTCACTTATCAATGGTTAGAATTGAAAGGTGCAAAATAATAAGCTCAGTTTGCAAAGGGATGTAATTCCCTTTCCACAAGTCAGGATCACTCATTAAGTTAAGGTGAGTTTCCCACATCAGACTGTTGCAAGTCAATGGAGAGTAGGATGGGATACGTTTGGAGAATCAAACATCATTTTAATATCTATCTATCTATCTATCTATCTATCTATCTATCTATCTATCTATCTATCATCTATCTACCTAATCTCTACCTATGAGTAGACTAGAAAATTAATCCTACAATATGATAGTATCTGGGCAATGGAATTACATTTCTTAGAGATTTTTAAAAATTACCAATCTATCTGTATCTACGAATAGTTAGAAAAGTAATACTATAAAAATATGGATTTTAGACAATGGAATTATTTTTATTTTACATTTTCTTCTTTTTGATTACCTGTATGTAATATTATTTTATAAATAAGCATGTATTGCTCTTGTCTTTTTAAACTTTAAGTTGGAAATTTTCAAATAAATTGCCAAATAAAGAGAATAGTATAATGAACTCTCGAGTCCACATCACTTAGCTTCAACAGTTACCAACTTGTGACAAATCTTGTTTTACACATTGTGTCATACAAAGAAGAAAAGTTGATTTTAGTTTAAAAAATTTTTTTGAGCTAGTTATCTACTTAACATTTTCCCTAATCCATACAACCCACCTTTATGCGAATCAGATAAATTAAGTCAAAGATAGCCCAATATTTTTCTTGACAATTGTCCAAGATCCCTCTTGAATTATGCCAAATTATTTCTTTGAAAGTCTGGTTTTGTTCACCTTCTTACCCTATTGATGCTTCTCAAAAATTTGTATTGCAGTATCCCCAACATCAGGGGGAAAAGCATATGACTCTAGAAATCTGGGCATACAGAATGAACTGGCTCACCAAAAGCAGAGTTATTTTGAAATCTCAATTTTATTTTTAGAATCTGTGAAAATTTGCATCTTATCCTATCTATCTTGTTTATAGAAATAGAATGTTTTTAAATTACTCACCATTGAATACATTTGACACTGTAAGAAGATGGTCCATGCTGATCTTATGGCTTCCTGTTTTCCAAGGCACCTTGACAAATTCACCTGTGAACACAAGGTCCCCAGTTTTAGTGCCTAAGCTTTTCTCCCCATTCAAGACCCGGCTTCTTTCCTTTGACTTTGTTTCCTTGACTTTGAAACTCCATTCTCTTTAAAGACTTCGGCTTCAATTCAGCCTCTTGCTTTCTCCACTGCAGAACTCCTCAACTAGTGTGCCTGACCTACCTTAGGAACTAGTCCTCAGTTGCTAGCCCAGTGACTCTTGTCCTGGCCAGGCCTGACCCAGTACCCTGTGAGAGGATCTTGGATCCCCAAACCACAAGTGTGAAGAGACTTGTACATTCAATAGATCTTTACTGAGTGCCAACTATGCAGCTGGCACTTAGGTAGGCCTTGGATATACTGTGGTTAAAAAGAAGGACACAATCCATCTTTAAGGATTCAACATTGTCATGAGGAACAAAAACAAATGTACATACAATTTCGAAATGGGCTAATAAGCCCTATTTTAGGTGAAGTACTATGTCCTAGGAAGCAAAGAGCAGGGTCCATTAAGTGGTTCAGGAATGTCTTCTAGGAAAGTAATGCAGTGTAATGACAGGAGAGATACGGAAGACCGGTCTTGGTGGTGATCTTCTATATTTGAATGAAAACTTACACTTATTCAACCTCATGCAGAATGGTTTCTTAGAAGTAAAGGAATTGTAAAAATGGTACTCTGTATGGAAACTTGTTTGCAGGATTGCTTATACATTGATATATCAAGAAGGGGCTAACACAAAGAATTTGATTGCTTATGGGTATGGGTTCAAAAAAGAAGAACTGTATTCTTTTCAGATTGAACTTTCTTGGTGAACATCTTACAAGTGTATTGCGTATTTTATTCAAGTCTCAGTAGTTTTACTCAGGCTGCTGCTTCTTCCCCAAAAGAGCTTTCTTCGTTATTCTGGTGAAACCTTAATCACTTGTGGGTCCTTGCCCTTCTGTGAAGTCCCTGACAAGCAGAATCGATAGCTCCATTTTTATTTCCCTTAGCCCTTTGTTACCTTACCACACGTGGAGCTTTTGTATCTGCCTCTCCTGCTCTGCCTTCTTGCATACAGAGATCAATTAATCATTCTACCTTCTAACTTAGCAACTCTGTACAGTACTTAAGTATAGTAGATATTAAAAATATATAGATTAAACTGATCCAAATATAATTTTATTTTTATATTCAACAGATTATTTTGATTATCATTAAAAGACTATACTACCTCAGTATTCAGAAACTCTACTTTTATTTTTTTCTTATTTCTCAATAAAAGTGGTGGTGATGTTGGCATTTGTTCTAAAGCATTCTTTCTTAGGTGAATATGATGTGAGACTTATTTCCCACTGAGTAATTCAGAAACAAACACACTCAATCACTGTGAACTACCCTACGGTGGAGATAGAGGGATAGGCTTCATCCACACACTGCTAGTCAAGGCTGAGTAATGGAGTTGAATGAGAAAACAAGTGAGGAAAGGCCTCTGCCTATCCTTTCCTTACCTTCCTATGAATGTATAATTTCAGCAAAACACTATTTTATGTCTGGACCTTTTCTTTCCAACCTTAGACCTACTTTCTCTTCCCTTTCATGTATACATCAGGCATAAAAATGCTATACACAGTGACTTTCAATACTGGATATTCTCTCTTAAATCTTTCAGACCATGAAGAAATGGCATGTCCATTCTGACAACCTGATTAGGGGTTCCATTTAAAAAATTTATATCTCATACTTTTAGATATTCCACACCTAGAGCAGGTCTCATTATCACTTATATATTTATTATAACTTTATTCGGCCTGAACAAATTAAATCACTAATGCATAGGAAACCATATTATTGTAGTAAACTAGGATTCAGGATGGTAATAGGAAGTTGTGGCTTCCAGTGGTCAAAATAGCCTTGTTTGTGATTTTAGCAAAAAAACAAAAGGGTTGTTTACTTAAGTCCAATATGTAAGCAGAACATATTTTATAACATTTCAGTAATTCTATAAAGGTTTTGAGTGATTCTGTTGTATTACTCATTGTACTAGATACTAGGAGGAATAAAAAATGAATAAGAACAAGTTACTTTATTAAAAGAGACTGCAATATCAGTTAGCCTTTCCTTTCACTGTAAACAAAATAATTCTATAACTTCCAGAGACATATATGCCAAACACAACTTGCTAAAACAATTGCTAAGTTCTGAAGTTCAAGTTTAATTAATTTCATACCACCTGACCACATTTAATTTGGGCTTGTTATATTAGAAAAAATATTTTATACAATCATCCATCAAATCATTAATTTTGTTAAATATCCCCTCCTCTCTCTCTTTATTTTAGAGTAAATATACATTACATAAAACCATGGGTAAATAAATTTTTAAAAAAACCACCTAGACTTTTTATCTTTAACTGGATGTTGAATAGTGAATGCCTCCCCTCAGGCAATTTAAATAATTTACATATATTCTCCTGATTAGTCTTATAGAGTCAAAATAGATGTGCGTGTGTTTTTTAAGTCTTATGTTTAATTACTTATCAAAAATACTTTAAGACTGGAAAATATAGAAGTTAAAAATATACTATTAAAGTATGGTAGCTAACAACTCAGCCTATAAACTAGAACTAGACTGATCGGGCTCAAATTTCTGCTTAGACATTTATCAGTGTGTCATCTAGGTTAAGTGCTGGGAAAATTAATGGGAAGAGATTTCTAAGAAGTAGGAACAGCAAGTAAAAAGGCCATGAGGCAGACCTGAATTCAGGGATCTAAGAGCAAACAGAAGGCCCACGTGATGGAGTGGAGTGACATCTAGTGTTTGGAGATGAGGTTGGACTAGTCAAATAATTTTAGATTAATAATAGATTCATTCAATGAATCAACAGAAATAATGGAACATCATGATAAAAAAATACCACAAAAAGTATAAAATCTTATGGAAATTAAGGGCATAACTAGATACTCTTATAAACGAGATTTTAGGATGTTGATTAGGATTTTTTCTGTTGCTCATAATTGAAAAGAAGAGTAAGTTACCTCTTTCCTATGAGAAACTCCAAAGAGATGCCAAAAATTGGGGACAGACACTGTCCTCTACTAAGGGTAGAAACACTGAGGTGAAATAACTTGCTCTCCTAACAGCAACCAGCTCCCAATATGACCAGAAAGAAAATTAGGGAGAAGAGTGGTGAAAATTAACAAACTTTTGAAGAGCCCAGTGTTCACAGGAAAAAGTTACACTTCTTTTTAAGGGAAACAGAAGGATGATTTTTTTTCTCCTCCTGAAGCCAAATGATGGAAGCCCATTGGGGGAATCATGTGTAAAGACTGCATATATATCTGCATGAGGGAGACTTGCCTCTCTTTCCTCAGCTAGATGGATGGAAGGTACTGAACACACATGTCTATCTGGAGCTGCTTTGGCAGAATACCATGGTTGAGAGTCTTCTTGGAGGAGTTAAGCATTTGCCACCTAAAGTTTGAGAGACACCTATGAACCAAAGGCAGCTGCTTATGTCTAGTCTTCAGATATTTGAAGAAGAGGAACTCACTGGAGTAGCTCACATTAACAGGTAAGAGGGACTAGAGTTCATTTTTGAGAGGGAATAAATATCCCCCTTGACCCTAACTCGGTGTCCTGTGGCTCTTGGAGGGTTCAGATGATGATCTCAGTGGCTACTATGGCTATGTGCAAAGTAGCACGGAGCAAAGGGACAGTATGGCTGCTAAGTGAGGGGAAACTACAGCTAGAGTAGTTAGGGGCAGAACTGGTGTCAGAGCCCGAAGTGGACATGGTTTCTTTCCCTGAGAAATTCCTCAATGATTACAGGGCCAGGGTAAAGCTGAATGCCATCTGAACAAAACCAAGCACATCAGCAGCACAGAGCTCTCAATAGCAGAAACTATTAGCAGTAGACAAAACTAAATCGAACAAGGAAAAGAGCTGGGACACTTTCCCACACCTACACATGGCTGATTATGTAGAGTTCTACCACCCTTATCTCCTCTTTCTGATTCCAAAACTAGAGGGGCTAACAGTGAGGAAGGAGGAGTCAGACCTCCTTCTACCTTCTCTACTCCAAGCAGCCAGCATTGAAATTTAAGCTTGTATTGAGGGGAAAAGAATATGATCCTATTTATATCAGATGCACAACTGAAGTTTTAACATTGACAAAAGTTCTAATAGCTGAAATTCGTGGAAAATGATGGCATCTATCAAAATTTCATTAAGGAATATGAAAAGGAGATTCGATACATCATGGTTGGAAGTCTTGATTGGATTAAAAATAAAACAATTTTGCATTAATCTTCCTGTTGTGAAACATTGTACAAGTAACCAAGCAATGAAAACATAATAATACAAACCGCACCAGATTTACTGAGTAAAGATACTCTAGTCTACTCTAGTCTGAAATCATAATCTCATGGGATTTTATTTAAATGTGAAATTTCATCCAGCTCCTCAGTTTTGATAAACTATTGATTCTGTCAACTGCCCCTTTGGTTTAAGAAGGTAGATTGATCTTCCCTCCATCAGCAATATATAATCTATCTCTCTAGACCTTTGCCAGGGATATGAACTCAGACTATCTCCTATTCTGTTCTCATAAAGGTCTTCTGAGAGAAGTGATAGTTGGGAAAGCTCTTCTAAGGAACATGGTACCTCTAGTATACATACTTTGAGTTCTATCTTTTTATCAAGTTAAGTCAGTGGACATATACATTCATGACCACATAAATACTCCTATAAAAATCTGTCACCAATTTCAAATTCAAAGTTATGTTCATAGGCTTCTTTAAACTTGTTATAAGAAATAGTTATATAAAATCCTCTTCTAGTTTTCAATAAAAATGTTGCTGATATTATTCAATGCATTGCTCAGTGTAACTATATATGAGAAATTTCTTCATTTAGTGGCAGGAGAATTTCTCTCTTGAAGTGTTTCTTGCCTTTTAATAATGAGAATTGTAAACTTTCTAAGTTTTCTATGTTATCCTTACTGCTAGGAAGTTCAAAGCCAAATTTGTAGCTCTATCAGAGCAAGTATGTTTAAAAAAATACATAGAACCTATTTGCGTTTGTACTTTTTCTTGAATTTTATCAATTTATTGTATATTTTAGGGAGTGTTTACTTGTAAAGTATAGATAAAAAAATTTACTTCACATCCCAGGAAGAGTCTTTTCGGGAGACTGAAAGTTGACCCCTCAACATGAAATTGACTAATCTTAAAAATATTTTTCAAAGACTGATGCAAAATTACTGTTTTAAAATTAATATAGGCCCCAAAACATTATCTTCATATACTCACTAGTTTAATAATATTAACCAGTCTGTATTGTATATACCAATAAATTATACAATAAAAATATTGTTTTAACATTGTTATTGCCTGCTAATTATAAAAACCTTATCTCTGATTTTTACTTTATATATTATTATGTACTGCAAAGTTTAGCAGAGCCTTCCAGTAATACCCAGAAAAATTAACTCCAGCATCATGAAGACAGTTATAGCAGATGCAGAATATCTTATAGAAGAATAGAGAAAACAAATCACATTTTGGTTAAGAAAATAAGACCAAGAAAAGGAAAGTCAGTGACACACAGTAATAGCTTGTTCTTCAGCAATACTTTTACATGGCCTCTTTTTGCTGAGATAGAAGCAAAGGTTAATTATGCTGATGTTCTTTGTTTTCTCAGCTTAAATAAATTAAGGTGCATGGGTAGGAGGAAATGGATTCACAAATGACAATAACTGTGTTTATCTGATAACTAGGTCATTCACTAGTTTATCTACATTGGTCAGTCTGTAATGTACAACCCAGTAAATTGACCAATAAAAGGATTGCTTTAGCATTAGAGAGACATAATTTAGGTATAATTTTGAGGGCTTCCATAAATTAATCAGACTGCCATGTATATGTATCCATGTATTAGCAGGCATAAAATAACTTGTTTCAAGCCAGGGGATATTTAAACAATGATAAAAATCATCCATGACTAGCTACACTGGCACTATACTTCTTTAGCATAATCCACGCTTATAGCCATCACATGCCTCGTTGCTATGACACTAATAAGTATAAAAAGGACGATGAAATAGTTTGTTGGCTGTTAAAAATGCCTATGGTTATGTTGGTATTTTACTAGTTATGCGATGTAACATATCTACTGTGGGTTTCAAGTCCACAAATATATTTCTTCCAACTCTGCTTTCACATTGCACAGGGAACAGGGAGGACAGACTGCTCTGATCTCGGACACAAAGAGAATGATAAATCTTTGAATAAATTTTCTTCACACCATAGTTTAGGTTAAAAGAATTGCAAAATAACATTTATGATTTCAGAAAAAGCAACAATGCAGAAAATAAATATTTGAATGAAAGACAAGGTTTTGCTCTAAGAGCCTTTTTTCTCTTAGAGATCAATTAATTTAAAAATAATTTACTTTGCTTATGTATCCTAAAACTCTAAGAGTAACTAGCAAATAAAAACCTAAATACACAAAATGCTCCATTCTATGGATAGAGTCTGAAGTTTCATTCTTCTTTTTTATTCCCCTGTCATTCTTCAAATTTCTACCGAAGTGTAAGTAATATCATGAAATTGATGACAGACTGTTAATGCTCTTTGAGTAGCCTGAATGAAGACTATTAATATAGAAAGGATGTAATTATGAAAATCTTTTGATGTCTTTAGGCTGACATTCACTTATCCTCTATTTATATAGCCTTAATCTCTGGTTTTCTGGTTTTGTATAAATTCTAGTTTATATTCATAGTTTTCAAAAATTCATTTTTGGGTGTACATAAACCTAAATATACAAGACCATAGGACCACATAAAAAATTTATTTGAGTTTGGAATCTGGATTTTAGGAAAAAAAAAAAAAAGTCCTGAAATTCTGTTAAAATGAGTCTGACAAGTCTTGGCTCAAAGTCACACTGGGGAGGAATCTGTTTTTCTTTGAAAGCAAGAGTATAATCAATATTTTCATTGAATGAGTATAAAATAGAATATAACATTATTAAGCCAGTATTAACATTTAGTTGGTGAAGATTTCGCTTTTTAAAGGCTGTAGAATAAGAACAGTTTAAACTCATAAAATGAAAGTTTTTACTTCATTATTGTTACCTCTTTATTTTTGGCTAAATTGTACTTTCAAGGGAGTAGTCAGAAAACTGTTTCTATATATTGAATAACTTCAAGTAAGTATACATGTTACTCAACAGCATTAAGTGATCTATTGGCCAGGAACAAAGAGTAGATACGATGCTCTCTCTAGGTTCCAGTATAGCGTGTACTAACTTAGAGGTTTTGGGGAGTTATTGTTAGAGAGAGATTCAATTCTTTGCAGTATAAGCCCACACTTTGCTGTGGATCCCAACTTCTACATCCGTTCAGAGAAGCCATTGGCTAGATGGATGTGTAGTAATAATAAACAGTGTTTATTTGCTTTCTTTATGGTGATTTTTAGGACTCGTCACACATACCCCATTATATCTTCCTTCCCTCCCTCCTTTCCACACATATTTTTAAGAACCCATATGTGTTAGGAATAGGGCTGCTGTCTGTTACTTATTCACAGTGGAGTTAAGACACAAGCAAACAAAAAATTCTAGTATAATAAGGTAAGTGTTATAGCATGAGAGCACAGAGGATAAACACCTAATATAGTTTATGGGGATTAGGGAAGGCAATTTAAAGATTATACCTGACACAAATACACAGATATTTGCATGTACGTCTGTGAACACATTTAAAAAAAAATACATTATTTACTTCCCAGAAATAAGACAGTAATGACTCATTGTTGGCTGATATACCTGTCTCCAGTATAATGAAGAAAATATACTGTCTCAATTGGGGGCTAATGTTTGTAAACTACTGGACTTTTCTAGATGAATGATGCCACATAATTTTAAAATATTAATGCTCTTCTAATCTCTATTGTATTTTTAACAGCTGACTTATAGTCAATACCAAAGGAAAGCTTTCATTATGTGCATGGTAGAGTGGAAGTCATGTCAAAAAAGTTTAAAAAATATGGGTGTTTGTCCTGATTTGGTGGTTCATAAACTATGGCTTAATTGTTTGCTCAAGTCATTTAACTTAATTAAACCTATTGTCTTCATTGGAAACACGAAGAGGCCAAGCAAGATGATTTTAGTTTCTTTCTAGATTTAAACATCTGATTCCTATAAATATTCTGGTTTATGTTAACATGTTTAAGTTATAATCTTAAGACAATAGCTTTTAAGTTCCCACTCCTAGAAAGTGTTTATAATTTATGTTCTCTAGCTCCCTATAAAATTTGACTTTGTCGTACTGGTTACACAAATAGTCCCGAACACACTAGCCAAGACCCGTCAGACTGGTTCTGTTTAGATCATCAGTGACTTCTTTCTTCACCTCCATCCAGCCCAGGAAGCAGCTGATAGAGCCCGAATGTACTCACTTGACTGCAGACCTCGATCTCCACAGGACTCCTTGCTGGTCAGCAATGTATTCGTGAGTTCCCTTTTTCTTTGTCTTAAGTTAGCGTCATTTAAAAATGACATAAACCACAC